TAGGGAACTGGGCTTTGTTTTGTACTTGTTAAATTTGAAATATCTATTAGCCATTGTGCAAGAACAAATTAATTAACATAACAGGCCTGGATATGGACTTTGGAAGGCCTGCTTACAGGAGTGGTCTTTGGTTGGTACCTGGAGCTTGAGTTTTCAGGGGGTTCTCACTATCCTAACGGATGAGAGTGGCTCAATATGTCCACACCGTTTATATGCAATCAATATGGTTCATGCTGAATATCTTATTTCCTTCTGGGAGTCTGGAATTTGGGTGTGTGTTAAGAAGAAGCTTCCTACTTGACCAGCCTCCTATAAAATCCCTGGATGTTAAGTTTCTAATGAGCTTGCCTTGTACACAACATTTCACATGTGTTGCCACAACTAGTTGCTATGGGAATTAAGCATGCTCTGTGCGACTTCACAGGGAGAGGATTTGTGGAAATTTGTGTCTGTTTTCCTCCAGACTTTACCTTAGCCACCTTTTCTCTTTACTGATTTGCTTTGTATCTTTTCACCATAATAAACCATAGCAATGAGTTTGACAATATACTGAGTCCTGTAAGTTCTTTTAATGAATCTTTGAGCTGGGGAGTGGTCTTGGGAGATCTCTGACACAGCCATCTAGATAAAAAGGTTGAGTAAGCAATTGTCTATATAAGTCTGGAATTAGGAAAGATACAGGCTGAAGTGATGAATTAGAATTATTCTAAATTGGATTGGGTATTTTGATCCATTGTGCTGGATGAGACCACATAAGCATAAGTGAAGACAAATAAATATGTTCACAAACAAAACCGTCATCTATTCCAATGTGTAGTATTGGTGAAAATGGAGAAATCTGTTAGACGATATTAAGGAGTAGCTAGTGCAGAAAGAAAAGAACCAAGAGAGAATGGTGTTAGGAAATCCAAGGCAAGAAAGTGTTTATTGTTGTCAGAAAACTATTCTGCCATTTTTCTTTTTTTCTTTTCTTTTTCTTTATTTCCGACCCTGCCATTTTTCACCCCAAATTCTCTGGCTCCCTTGTCTTTTAGAATTATAGGCCAAATGTCTCCTGGATTAACCCTCCCCACAGATGAAATGTCAGACCCCTCCTTCCCCTTGCCTCTGCCCCCCACATCAGTATATCCCAGGAGTCACCATAGGATTATCTTATGTGTGACCAGAAATATATCTCTCAGAGGCATTGACCAGCATCTTCTTCCTCTCCTGCCCTATTATGGTTGTCTAATGCTGCAAAGTTAACCATGTTAAAATTTAGTGGCATAAAACAAGTCTGTTATGTTCACAATTTGGGGAGTCAGGACTTCAGACAAAGATTGTTTTTCTCTGCTCCACAATGATTGGGAACTTAGCTGAGCATCTTGAATAGCTGGAGATAGCTGCAGCTGTAGCTCTCATATGATTGGCCCGAGACGTATGGCTGATGCTCTGCTTCTGGCTGTTAACTTGGTTCTTCTCCATGTGTGCTGGTGCTGAAATGTCCAAGATGGCTTTTTAATTTACATGCTTGATGCCTGGGCTAAGATGGCTAAAAATGGCCATTTCTCTATCTCTCAGTCTCTCTCTCTCTCTCTTTCCCCATACCCTCTCTGAATGGTTAGCTTGAGCATAGAGGTCTCAGAATAGTTAGCTTCTTACATGGCAGCTGTATTTCCTCAGAGTAAGTATTCCAAGAGGCTCAGACAAGTTGTTTTATGACCTAGGCTTGGAAATCTCAGAATGTCACTTCTGCCACATTATCTTAGCCAAGTAAGTCTCTAAGCCAGCCAAAATACAAAGAGAGGGGAATTAGAGGAAGGAGATTCAACTTCTCAATGGGAAGAGCAGCAAGGAATTCCCAGACATTTTCAGTCATACTCGGATTCCCATTTGCCAATGACTGCTGCTCAAGAAATTCATTAGAGAATCTCACCATGGCCACTATCATTCCTAATACTGCATCAATCATAGCCATTGAGTGTCTCTATCTTCTCTATGTTTTCCAAAAATCTGTAGCATCTAGGGTACCAAAGAATGTCTGTGGAGTAAAGAACAATCTTCCTAATTTTGTGATACATTTTGTAACACTTGATCAAAAACTAGCTTGATCATACCTGCGAAACAGGAATTTCAATATTTCATTGAAATGAGTCAGTTGACATGTCTTTCTTCCTGCCTAGTTGACGAACTCCTCCAGGTAAAGAATCCTGTGTTATTCAATTCTTGTGTCCTTAGCTCTTAGCACAAAGCCTGGAACACATAACTCAAATAAATTTCCTGACTAGAATACTGTATAAGTGGACTTATCCAAAGTTATACTTTTCTAAGAGACTGTCATTCTTGAGTAGCTGAATAACCTTAAAATTTCCACATTAAGTAACAATTGAGTGACCAGAAAGAATTGTATGAGTTTGTATGATCATAATTTGGGCCTTGGAGGAGCTAATTTCATCAAATAATTTTGAGACATGTATATTTTGTTTTGGTAAGAAAAAGTCACTGGAGAGGACTATCTCTAAGGATGAATGCACATTGTCATATGTGATCCATATATGTAATAAAGCATATAAAAATAATACTTAATTTACTAGTAGAATAATACTTTCAATATTTACTAGATATGATTCTTGTTGATTGTTGTGTTTTCTCTTTTCCTCCCTTTGTGGATTTTATTCTAACACGAAGCAAAAAAATGAGTGTTCATATTT